ACATGCACCCATGCAGTGGACAGCTCGAAGCGAAACAACCGCACGCACACAGAACACGGCTGCTTGATGTAGGTTCGATCGTAGGCTGGGGTGTGAGCTTGAAACGACTGACACAGTTTTCATGAAACAAACTCGTTTGTGCAGTGAAAACTGTAAGGAGTGAAACTGCGAGTAGGGTGGTTTTGACTTGCTGTGTGATGATGTGATCTCTCAAGTCAACCCCCAGCACCAGATAGGTCGGTTCGCTCATGTTTCTCCCCACCCACCCCCAAAAGGTTATCACCTATTTGGTTTCCCTTTTGATATATAGTTTAATGACTGGTGTGCTGTTGCTTTGGTCACTTTTGGAAGGGTGTTCGAGTTAGTCTCGCATGTTTGCTCCTTCCCTCGATTGAATCGTATAGGTCGATGTTCGATCGAGTACGAACTTGAGGTCACAAGGACAACATGGACTACACTCCAGCTTCCGGGAGCCCAGCCCGTATCAGGCCCGTTAGGTCGGGAGGGCTCAATGCGATAGATCGCAAGTGAAGCCACATGCACCCATGCAGTGGACAGCTCGAAGTAAAACAACCGCACGCACACAGAACACTGCTGCTTGATGTAGGTTCGATCGATGCAGGGTGGTATAGGATGGGGTGTGAGCTTGAAACGACTGACGCAGTTTTCATTGAAAAGAAAAAAAGGTGGCGTACGACGTCTCAGCATTGCGCAGGAAAAAGCTAGCGTGATACAATCCTAAAGAATCCCTGTCACTCCAAGGGTTACACACACACGCCCCCCCGCAATGGGGGGCACTTTTCAGCTGAGGTCCAAACGATGGGGTGAGAAAGGCGAGATCAAGAAAAGGTAGAAACTTCCTCCAGGCGGAAGCTGGGGTGAGGATGGTTGGTGCGGTTGCCAGCTGCACAGTGAAAGGCCCAGGCGCCCCTGCGCGCTGTTATCCGGTAGGGTGTAGACCCCGGCGTATGGAAGGGAAAGGAAAAGGTTGTAGGCATGTTTGCAGTGTGTGGCTTGGTGTAGGCGGCGAGGCCGGTAGGAGAGAGCTGCAAAGCGGCGGGAGGCGCAGGGAGAGGAAGAACAAGAAAAGGCATGAAGTTCCCTTAGGCGCAAGGATGGTTGGTGCGGTTGCCAGCTGCACAGTGAAAGGCCCAGGCACCCCTGCGCAGGAAGAGGAATCATCCCTCTAAGGTCCCGACAGCTTCCAACGAACCTCAAAATGCTTTGACCGCTGTGGTCACCTTGTGCCATGCCAACATGGCGGGCGACTTGAGACCGCTCTGGTCACCTAACGGCGTGCCCGAAGACGGCCAGCTTGGAATTCAATAATCCGTCAAGTCTTGGCAAATAACTTTGGCTCCCACCTACGCAACGCTCGCTGCGAGCTGCTCTGTATCCGGGCAAGGGATACGTTCGACAAACCACCGTTCAACGGGTCCACAGGGGCCACTCTTCGGGGTCACCCTGGGCTCTCACTAAGAGACACACTTATAGAAATGCATAAGCGGTTGCCACACGATAACTTGGGTACCCAACTCCTGAAAAGAGCCAGAAAACCTACAAAGCCTGGAGGTCTTCAAGAGGAAGCAGGGCGAAAAGCTCAATGCGTGACTCCAGAAAAGGTTTACACATTGAAAGGCACGTCAGTGCTGGCCGGGCACTGATATCACATGCACTTGGTGCGGTCTTTGTTAGATGAGGCACACGAAGGGACCCTCATCCCCCTGCTCTACATTGAAACGGAAAAAAGGTGGCGTCTCAGCAACGCGCAGGAAAAAACTAGCGTGATACAATCCTAAAGAATCCCTGTGACTCCAAGGGTTACACACACATATATATATGTATATATTTACATATTGTTGTAAAAGGAAATACTGCACCTACAATTTACTACAACCCAGTATGTATTGGAGGTGCGAGGTTTTAGATATCATGTGCTATGATGCATTGGATCGTAGTTTGCAGTGCTTGAGTGGCATGTTTTGGAGATATCACAAGGTGACCTTGCTCACACTGCACCGACTGCGTATGGTGCTAACTAACACTAACTGCATTCAATGAATGGTGGAACTTTCAAGTTGTGGAGGAGCGGCAACCCGTCCTCGCTCACGCCAATGGAGTAGACGGAAAAGAGTACTTTTTGCGGGATCGAAAGCTTTGGTATCTTAATGACTTTGAGACTCGCTTTGAGGGGCAAAATTTTTTGACCTATGAGCACCCGCCGCGCCTGCAACTCTTCTCAATAGAATATAGCGTTTCGTTTGTTGTTTCCCGCGCCATGCGTTCCAACTACCATTGTGGCTGCACCGATACACTTACGACGAAATAGAAGAGGCAAGATGGCAACTATAATATACTGTAGGATCGGATACTGCGTATTTTGAAGATATTGTTTGCCCTCCGGGCTCTCCGTGTCTATCAAGGTCATTGGCGAATGACTTTCGGCATCTCACAAGAGCTGTGGTAGTAGCAGCTTCTTTGAAGCGGCGTTTGGTCTTGCCAAATCGCATGAATTGCAACAACTGCCCAGCGCTCGAAGCCTATAAAGGGACGGCAATGCTGGGAACGAGCAACTGTACTTTTGACTACTTTGCTTGGTCACAAAGCTTTTTGGGCCACCATGGAGAATTGGTAGTTGAAAGCGGACTGGAGTCAGATCCGCATTTCGCACTACTTTCAGCAGAGACAGCAACGTCCGACCACTTTGTTGAGCTCTTCCAAGCAGCATGGAAAGGTGGCCATGGCGGTAAGGGCAACTTCCGGTCCAGAAGGCTGCACATTGCAGACTTGGAATTGGCTTACAAAACTGCTCTTGAAGTTGGGTTTAGACCGGCTATGGTGTTTGAGTGTCGTCATCACGACTGGCCGGTCGGTTGGATGGCTTGCCGCGATCAACGATTTGTGCAAGCTCAAGGCATGTTTTCGCGCTGTGAAGCATTCCCAGAGCAAGGGGGGTGTGGATACCGTGGGGTGACGTGCTGTGAAGCCTTCTGGGGATGGAGTGAGAAACTGGAATACTTCACTGGGAAGTCTTGGGACTCTTGGATGAACAAGCTCTTTTCAACTCTGGTCCTTTGCGGGCAGAAATGGGCAGATTAGATACAGTGCACAGCATCATAGCATCTCATGACTTTTTGAATTTTCAAGTGTTGCAGTGGGTAGATTTGATGCCAACAACTCAGGATTTGCCATGCAACTGTGGTTTGTCAGAATGCGAGCCGAGAGAAGGCGCAGAAAGGGCACAGGGATGCTGCGCATTTGCAGGAGGTCAGCCTAGATGTGACCGGCGGATACGCATGGAGTCTGTACCTGAAATCAACACACCAGAAGACACCGAGTCTTTGACTTCCACTGCACTTGCTGAACTGGAAGCCTTTGGCGATCCCATCTCCTTTTGGAAGACTTGCAGATTAAACCGTCAGCTCAGAGCTTCAGATAAAACAATTGAGGAGTTGTTGTGGAACTGCCATCGATTGGCTACTCGCTTTTTGCTCTTAAAGCAGAACTTGGATGTTTTGGGTCGTTGGTGTCGCTTTGCACATCGTTTGAGACGAGCAGCCACTGACACTGCAGATTTAGCCTTTCCCCGAAACTGGCCAAGCCCAACTCTTCTTCGACCTTTCAATGCAGAGACTGGCAAGGTGGAAGTCCTGCGGACAGAAGATTTGAGACTCACCAGTGTAAATAAATATATAGACTTTTCATGACGATACTATGCGATAGGGCGATAGGGCAAAACAGATATTAACAGATACCAGCCATACTTTAACAGTTGTGTTGTGTTCGCAAGAATGTGCTGGCCCCAGGTCCCAGGTCCACCGCGGTTCACCCTGCCATTTGATAGGGATCATAGATACGCTGTGTATATACATGTAGTGCCGTTTTCGTTTTTGCTTTTGCAAGTTCAAGAACTATTTTGGAGCTTCAACTCTCAACTCTAGGAACTTGAAGCTTTCTCACGATCTTGCACAACTTGGTTTCTTGCAGCAGAAGTTCTCCAGGTCGGAGATCCTTGAGGTAGTTGAAGGGTTGCGACTGCTCGGAAACATCAAGGCAGGCGCTCTTGAAAAAGCCCTACAGCGGCTGGCTATGGCAGAATGTATTTTGCAAACACTCTATGCTCTAGGTCCAATCTTCAGATTAGTTTGTTTATGTACTGCCCATTTGCATATTTAGACTGATTTGTTTGTGAGAAACTACGTGTTCAATGTTCAATGCATAGAAAAATGAACACAAACTGAGCAAATTGTCAAAACCAGGCCTGAAATGGGACACCGTTGACACCAAGTGAGACACTGTGAATCAAGACTCTTTTGTACAAGTCGACATGCGCCAGCCATTCTTGCTGTTTTTTGTCACACGGCCTCGGCATATTTGGGTTAGTTGCTGTAGTGAGCGGAATTCAACAGCTGGTCAATCCTGGATTCTGGACTCACTATAGGCCGCGACCGCGACAATAATAAGCAAACAAACATAATGCCAGTAGCGCCGCGCAATGAGAGAAAAAGTTACTAACTAACACCTCCCTGAACTGACAGAGTGGATGTCTAATCTCTACTTGCAGACAGAAGCTGTTCAGCACCAGCAGGCGTACCAAGACGTACAGTAAAATGTTAATCCAAATGAAACACAACATGATCACACGAAAGAGAATATGACAGACAAAATCTGTCTGTCGAGTGAAGACCACATATGCTGTCAATAGTCCATGGTTGAATCATGTTGAATCACTTTCACATAGTGATGACGCCTTGATGTAGGTGTTTGATTCCATTTACGCTGGAAACCGTGCACGGTTCGTGCCAGAACTGAAGCTTGGTGACAGGAAGTGAAAGTTTCAATCCTTTCACCCTCCTTGCTCCTTGCAAATATGCAGTAGTATATCCTCAGTTGCGACAGCTTGGGGTTGTACAGTTGTACAATATTACTGGGCACTGTCGGATCCACAGCCCCCGGCCTGGGCAGGTTGTGTGTCTAGACATCATGTTTCGGCGGTGTCTCGGTGGTGCTTTGCCGGTGTATTGGTCATGTTTGGTGGTGTCACCGTGATGCTTTGCTGGTGTATTGGTCATGTTTCGGTGGTGTCTCGGTGGTGCTTTGCTGGTGTATTGGTCATGTTTCGGTGGTGTCTCGGTGATGAATTG